CAGTTACACAGCTATTAATAATTGATTATTTTCAATGCACCTGGGCAGGTGTTCTTGTTGCAGGCAATGGCACAAGCCTCCAGGACTTTCTCTGCTCTTCCTCCATCAGTTCCATTTGAACGCAGATCAACCAAGATGAGATGATTATCTGAGCCGCCTAAATATAAAAACAAAAGATAAAGCGAACACAGCTGCAACTGTATCCAATCTCGTTCACCCTCAAGACAACAGTTTGATTCACCTATAATTTATACCTAAATCCTTAAAGGGGTCATATGATGCGATTTCAATTTTTCCTTTCTCTTTGGAGTGTTACAAGCTCTTGGTGCATACACCTGTAACAACTTTGTAGCCCTTTTCCATTAGGGTGGCTCCTAAAGCACTGCAATTTGCCAGAACTTGCAATTGATAGGTCTTGAACTCTGGAGTCAGAGCCTGCTTCAAAGCAACAGCAACCCCTGTGCATCACATCAAACAAATAAAATAAAGCACATAATTGGTAGAAAATTAATAAGTCATGGATTAATCAAACATTCCTAGTGTAAATGCAAACGTATCTAAACTTATCTCACCTTACATAACCTTATCTTATCTTCTTTTATCTTATCAAAACACTCGGAGAACATCAGCTCTTACCTGCAATGGCATGGTTGTGAGGGCCGCCCTGTAGTCCAGGAAACACTGCCTGGTTAATCAGACTCTCTAGGTTATATACGGTCTCTTTGCCCGTCTTTGCATCAACACTACGAACCCCTGAAATTCAAGAGTTTATCATGACAGTGCTGTCAATGGCCTAGATTAAGTATGACAGGTCAGTTCACACTGAACTCACCCTTCCTGAAGAAAATGACTCCTGCCCTGCAGCCCCTCAGGGTCTTATGAGTGGTGGTGGAAACAACGTCACTGTATTCAAACGGAGATGGAACGACTCCTGCTGCGACCAAACCACTGATGTGAGCCATGTCTGCCAGAAGATACGCTCCATTCTCATCTGCGATCTTCCTCAAGCGACTGTAGTCCAGGTTACGGGAATAACAGCTGGTGCCTTAACAATGGTACACAGAAACGTTAAATGTGATGTTTGTCACTTTTTTTGATGTTGAAATACTTTTTTTCCTCCAACCAGTCCATAAGAGCAGCCCTGACTCCAATTTGTTTGTCTGACTACTAGCAGAAAGAGGGGATGTTCAGAAAATCTCTTTCTGTATTTGTTTGTAATTATTTTTGCTAAATCTCTTGTTTTTTCCCATATGATTTATGAAGCACATCAGATAGTTGAACAAAGTGCCGAATAAAAGTGTAATAAAAAATTAAAAAACAAGGGGGAAAAAAAGGCTTTTCCAAGTAAAATTTAAAAATTTGTTGACCAACAACTAAAATTATTAAATTATTTATTATCAGATTTCCTTAGAAACAGCACTGACCTGCAATGATTAGTCTTGGGTGGAAGAGACGAGCATTTTCCTCAAGTCTGTCATAATCAATGTATCCAGTTTCTGGATTGACCTAGATGAAAAAAATATAATCATACTTTAAAAAAAATTAACATGTATAATATACCAGCAAATTACACAACGTCAATTTTTCCCATTACTTCAGTTTAGAGTTCACCACTATGTTGATTCTAATCACAAGGTCACCTTATACGGCATAGACTCAAAGAAAATGGAAGTGGCTGAGATTTTCTTTTTGTCGGTCATGAAGCCGTGGGTGAGATGGCCACCATCAGGAAGATCAAGGCCCATGATGCGCCCATGAGGTTCCACTATGGCTGTGTATATGGCAAAGTTCGCTGGTGACCCTGAGGAAAAAAAGATACATTATTTCAAACAATGTGCACTTGTGTTATTGTTTCATATGTTACATTATCTCTTACAGCAACAGTCCAGTGACACAGAAACAAACCCACCAGAGTACGGCTGAACATTCACTCCCCATTTCTCCGGGTCGAGGCCGTACACCTTGAGAGCTCTTTCCTGACACAAACGCTCCAATTCATCTACATGCTCCGTGCCTCCATAATACCTAAAAACATTAAACAAAGTTTGACATTTAACACAGGCATTTTTTAAATGCATAAGCACAATGTCTAAGTTCAAAGTGTAAATTACACAATACTTATCTTATTGGCAAATGCAACAACATAAAATTGTAATGTAACATCACATAAAATGTCATTGCACAATAGTCACCTCTGACCAGGATAACCTTCAGAGTATTTGTTGTTCATGCAGGAACCCAGAGCCTCCAAAACAGCCCGACTAGTGAAGTTCTCAGAGGCAATGAGCTCTAATCCATACGTCTGCCTCATCTTTTCCTTCTTTATTATATTAAATACCTAGTGCACACAGAAATATATTAATGCTATAAACAAACAATAAGCAATGACACAAGTTTTGATTGATGAATCAAACTCCAGTTGAGCACAGCTAGGCTAAAGCTGCCTGTCACATAACAGATCAGAGACTAGGAGACCTGATTTCATCATAACCTAGGCCCTAGGGTGACCATACGTGCCATTTTCCCAGGACGCGTCCTGGCCAGGATTTGTTTTGGCTTTGTTTTCCTGTTTTCATGCTTGCTGAAGGTAATGATCGAAAAGTAGTTTGACCAATAACATGCAAGCATTGTACATAATGGACCAATCATGGCGTGTGAGAAGGTGGGATCTACGGTCAAAGCGATGCAATTACGCATACATATTAGGTGTGTTCGACTTAAAAACAGCACGGCTCAGACCGATCAGTGTTTGACATCAAAGTAACTCGAGAGCGTTTCGAAAGCATAACCGTCTGTATGGTACTTTGATGTCAAACACCGATCGGTCTGCACACGCAAACAAAGCCAAAACCTAGATATTTTAGGAAATATAGAAATCCTGGCCAGAACGTGTCCTGGGAAAATGGCACGTATGGTCACCCTATCATACATGCTCAGAAAAAAAGGTACAAAAGCTGTGGCTGTGGCAGTACTTTTTCAAAAGGTGCTAATATGTACCATTTGGGTACAAAAATGAAAAATTTAGGGACTAATATGTACCTTTAAGGTACTTATATGTACTCTTTAGGGGTAAATAAGGCACAAATGTGTACCGTTTGAAAGGGTACCACTCCAGTGACAGCTTTTGTACCTTTTAGTACACTGTGATTTTCTGTGAAATCTGTCGACTACAAAACTCACAAAAAATTTGCTTTGAAAATCAGTGCAAAAGTCATATAGTGTAGGACGCGTCCTGGGAAAATGGCACATATGGTCACCCTATCATAACCCCCAGAACAAGTCAAAACAAAAGTTTTTTTTCCTCTTGCACAGCAGAGTATCATTCGTGGTTCACTGAATGGATTCACAATAATACAGTCTTGAGGCTGGTTGTACATATAATCACTGACTTACCTCAGGATCATTTGTGCTCAGAGGTTCCAGCATCATCTTGTTATGAGATTCCCATGTTTTATTATTATGGCCGTTGATCTGTGCCATAGTTGATGATCCCTAGAGAAAAAATTTTTTTATTTAAATGTTAGAAGACCCCCATATGCAAAACATTTTGTATACACTGGGTTATATCATTTGTAATAAAAGCATTAATGTACTTGAGTTTGAGCTCTTTAAATTCAAAGCAGAGTATTCTCGGATCAAATGCACAGTACAATGTTTATTGTTCAGTATCTATTGAGTTTTGCTTAGACTGATATTCAGTAATCAGCAGTGTGGTGCACACAGCTGCAGTGTTATTAACTAACATTAATTACTAAATCTAAAATACATGAATGTAAATGTATTTTTTTTAAACAAAAACTAATAAAAAAATGACAAAAGCACAAAACAAAAGTACTAAAACTCAAATTTAAATTACACGAAAACTGAAAAAAGGTGATTAAGAGTATCAATAAATACTGTAATAGTATATAAATAACCATAAATACACTGCTCAGCTGTCAATCAAATGATGCAACTGCAGCTGCCAGCGCAGAGCACGCTTCTGACAGATTACGAAACAAAACTTTGAGTAGGGTTTTCCACGTCTTGTCCAAAACTTTAAAGATAAAATTAGATTCGCAACTATAGTGACACATAAACCGGAACTAGCCTACTGCTTTTAGGGTTAAATTTTTCCCGCGAAATACATCCTGTAACTATTACAAATCAAACAACGTGTGGCTTAGGGACAAATGCTTACTTTATAATAACGAAAACGATGTGATTCTTTGACACACAGATGTCATTGCTCTTTATGCACCGACTTGCACAATGGTAACGTTAGTTAACAGATCGACATTCATCGACCGAGAATGTGGAGCACATGCAGTCACAAGATTTTGATTTGATCCACTAAATCAAAACTCTGCTTTACGTTAACTAAGCTTTAAACTATTTTTAATAGGTGTGATGATATGGAAAGGAAGCCTTCTTTCTACTTACCTTTACAAAAGCAATTAATGCTCCGTCCCAAATTTATTTCGGTGCAAGTTTCTTTTAGGTTTCCTCGTGTTAAAGTCCGCGAAATTTGGAGACCAATCAGCGCGCTGCGGGGCGTGGCTAATCGATCTACTGTCCCGCCCACAACGAAAGGCGTGATCCAAGGAGCAACTTTTCTGCATTGTCAGCTTTTTGTTCTTTGTAGTCGGCATTTTTTTACTTACCCGTATTGTTAAAATCTCAGATAATACATGCTACAGTCACCCTGGGCTTTTATGGGACATGGAGAACAAGGGTATGGGGTTCTGTCCAAAATGATAATACTAATATATGTAATAATAATAATACAAAAATATCTATCTAAAAATAAATTTGACAATATGTTTCTTATACATTATAATATGATGATCTAAAAATAAATGCAGACTGTCGATACATTTAACAACTACAACATTTTGAATATAAATAAATTCAAGTACAAAACTTCACCTTAAAAAAATCTAAACAGTTTCTCAGAAGGGTTACAAGAATACTACTGAGATATATAAAACAATACAAATAATTTTCACAAAAAAAAAAAAGTTCTGACATTTTATTGGTGTATGTTATTCTTTACATTACTTGTAGAAGAGAATACCATCAGAACATCATTCTAAATAACACCAGGTCCTTTACAACTGAGGACAGATTATTACATTTTTATTCTTACTATAATCCTTTAAACTGAGATCGCAAAGTTGACTCAGTTACATGTGGCAATGTGTAAATATATTAATAAATATGTATTCCTAATATCACTGAGTGAAAGCAAGCATTAAGGTTAAGTGTGAAAGCATCAGGGCTCTCACAAAGGCATTGTATTTGGACAATTAAATGCCTGCTTTCTGGGTTAATGTACTCTAAAATATTCCTTTTCAATGGAACGTTGTGTTATAGCATACCACATTATCTTTTGATTTGTCTTCAAAAACAACATTGTCAATATAATCATATACTGTCCACAAATGCATCAAAACCTCTAAGAATCCACTCTTTGGATTATTTGAGAGACAACATATGCAGTCCTTTAGCCGCTGCTGCCGCCACCTGCACTGCTTCTTTTGCTACAATGACAAAGAAGAAAACAATAATAAATCTCTAATTTACATCGAGACATTTTCACAAGTTGCTCTAGTCTACAACATTAACAAATGCTGCCAATTTACCTTTACGTTCCTCCTCTTTTTTCCGTGCAGCATCCTCGCGTTGCTTTTTAATAATGGCGAGTCGAGCGAGGTCAGCTTTAGCTTGATCTGTCTTTCCTGCTAAATGCATTTTCATATACCTCTCCTTGGCCTTTTGCTTTTCAATCTCTTCTCTGAAATATGGAAAGCAGTATATTGAAAGAGCTGAAAGGGAACAGATTCACAAGTCTAGATGTCTACAAATAACAACATATGTGACATTAAATTATAATAAATAATGAGAGGGTATTAAGTAGCTTGAAGAAAATGTTGTTAGCTTCACTCACCCCAGTGTTTCTTACCTTTCTCTTCTGGAAAGCTGTCTGGGACCCTCGAGTTCTATGTCTGTGACTTTCTTTGATTTTTGGGCGGCTCGATTAGGATTTTCAATCTCTATCAAACCCTCAACACCCTTCTTTTTCTGTGACAAAATGGAGATCAGTGTTGGTAATTGTTAACTAAAACTATTACAATCATTTGCATTAACTGAAATAAAGCTAAATGAAACAAACTATTAAAGTGCCCCTATTATGGGTAATGAAAGGTTAATATTTTGGTTTTGGGAGTCCACACTAACAGGTTGACATGCATGCAAGGTCAAAAACACTTTCATTGTCTTATAATATGCATTTATTTTTACCTTACTTTAGGGCTGCACAATAAATCACATGCGATATTTAACGCGCATTTTGTCAGTAAAGCCATTCTGTAATCAGCGGTAAATCTCCATCACGTGCGGGCTTTCACATGGAGCAGCATTAACTACACCGAGCCATTGTTCACCGACAAGCTGCGCAAAACCACAATCATATTTTGCGCATGTTTTGCACAGCTTGTCGGTGAACAATGGCTCTGTGTAGTTAATGCTGCTCCATGTGAAAGCCCGCACGTGATGGAGATTTACCGCTGATTACAGAACCGGCTTT